CCACCTTGCAGCCCATAAAGGTGTATATTCTCAGTTAAAATCAGAAAAAGTTTCAATCAAAAAAACTGTTTTTGATTGGAACAAACTAGGGGTGGGACTTTCACGCACTAATTAACATGTAAATAACTCGTTAAAGTCCCACCCCTAATATAATTTGAAGCGTTAATTCCGATTAATTTATTACAACAACAAAAATTAACTCATTTTATCGCAGTTTGCATCCAGACAACATGGAACGTTTGTCTGTGCCCGATTTCATGGTCCACTGATCACAGTGATGCACATGATGCGTCAGCGCTACGCTAACAACAACAAACACGGAGGAATCCGATGAGAGTGCATTGCTTGGACTGATGGAGGGCAAGTTTCAAAGTTTAAAAAACTGCTTGATGGAAGCCTTGAAAAGAGCATGGTCTTGTGCAACTTGTGCAAAAAAGAATTTGCATACCACCGAAGCACATCAAGCTAACGGTACCACCCGAATGCAAAGCAAGTTGCAGCGAGCACAAAAACCACCACAGCAATTCGCGCTAGCAGTCCTAGATAGCGCCAAATTTTTTTATTATTATTATTTTATTATTTTTGTTGTAATTTATTAATCGTAATTAACGAGTTAAAGTCCCACCCCTACAACAAACACAAGGTGGAGGATTATTTCAAGGGTGTTACTCCAGTTACAAGTACACAGATAGAGTCTGCGATTCAGTCCACAAAGGAAAGTGTTCTCGAGAACAAGTGGACGCTTTCCTGTAGACAGATTGGAGAAAAATTGACATTTTGCTAGACAGCAGAATTAGATAGCTATCATGCGCCATATTTCCTGTCCTTCTCATTCCCACTGCCCCATTCCCCCCATCCTGCATGCACAGGACATTCTGGAAAAGTGTTGTGTAGATTGGTCTGAGTCACTGATATGAGCCAGGACTGTGTGCTAACACCGGATTGTTTTCTCAGAGCAGATAGTGACTGAATTTGACGAAATCTATATTGGATTAGATTCACTGACGTTACCTTTAAGTAAATGGAATGAGAATAAATAAAGTATCAGTATGACTCTTTTGATCATGTTTGGAACGGTGAACACTTGGATTGTGTTTTTAATGTTCAGACGTCTGATGCATGGAGAAAAGAACTCTACAATCTTAGCTTTTTAATGTAGGCGTTTTTTGATCTGTGACTGTTACGGATTGTATAATTTTAGCAGTGAAATAGGCCATCTGTGTTCAGTTTACAACAAACACAAAACATGGGAAAAAAAACCCATACACCCTAGTGCTGATTTCATTTGGATTAGGAACATGTGTCGAGGCAGAGAAAGGCAGCCGTACTCTGCACGTTCATATATTAAATAAAACTTGTGTTTCAAAGAAACACTGCTGTGATTAGCCTGCATTTCTTTTGCTTTTAAAAATCAAAGCTAAAAATCACCTGACACACACACACACACACACTCTCACACAAACTCTTTTCCTCTCTTTCTCTATAAACACATGATAGTCACGAGAGAGACAGAGAGAGAGAGAGAGAGAGCGAGAGAGCGAGAGAGAGAGAGAGAAAGACAGTCACATGTAAGCTGCAAGCTGCCTTAGAACGTCATCAGTTTTTTTTTGTTTGTTTGTTTGTTTTTGTTTTTGTCATATTAAAAAGAAAACAAATGAAAACGAAGGTGTTACCAGCTTGGAGCTGTCTTAGTGGTTAGCATGAGAGTCCTGCTTCAATCTGTTGGCTCCTTCCATGCTCCAAGCTTTTGCTACTGGCTGTTGGAGCTGGATGCTTCTTCCTTCTCCTGCAAATGCTGTAGGTTGTCAGTCGGTGTCACGGCTGTAAAGAAATGAAACACAGATGGCAAAACATTCAAAACAAATCATGCATCAGAATCTTAATGATCAGTCAAATTATGGACATTATTTAACAACAAAGACAATCCAGGAAAAAAGTAAAGACCCTAATTCACAGTCACACTAGTTCCTTTCCTTTCCTCTGCAACAATTAAATGTACAGATGGGCACAGAGGAACACATTTGGAGACTGGAACTGCTCCAGTTAGTTATTGCAGCTGTGCTTCAAAGACAAAGTAGCAGATATTGCTGAAGTTGTTACTGTCATGACCTGGCTCAGGAGGTCACAATAAAAAAGGAAGAACACCATGATAAATGTTGAAATAATTCTTTATTTAATCAAATAAAACCATATTAGACCAAATTAAATAGCCAAATCAAATCATTTAAAGAACAAGATGTGACAATCAGTAAGTCAGCATGTGTAGCATGTGTATGAGTGAAAGAGGTGTATGTGTGTGATGGTGTTGTTGGTGATAACACAACAAAAGGCAAAATCAGAACAGCATGAATGAACAAACCAAACCAAACCAACCAATCAAACTTTTGCAATCTGTTCTGACACACACATCTCTTAAGCAGAGTCACAACCTGCAAAAACTGAACAAAAAGTCTAACTATCGCCACAAATCAGGAAATTGGCTACTTTCACAGTGGCTAAAACGATGTAAATGACGAGCAGCAAAGTTGGGATTCAGCCACAGATTACCCCAAAACAGTGTCTACAAAACAGTAAGGATAATGCCTACAGGTCTTGGTGGGCATTAACAGTGATAGAAGAAAACAATGAGCAGAGAAGGAGACAAAAAGACACTCTGACAGTAAAAAAAGGAGAGCATCCTAACATCACATGTTGCTCTGACTTCATCACTTCTATTTCTATTGTACATATTCAGTTACAGTAACCATTATTAATGAAGTAGTTTGGTCAGAAAAAACAGGATCCTTGCTATCACATGCTGTTAATGTATAACATTGAATATTTACGGTTCCAAATATTTATTTTCAGTCTCCTTGATTACTAATATTCCATATTTTAGTTGATGCCCATTCTGAAAGTCTGCATTTTTTTTTTAAAGACATATAACCAATAGCGATGACGGTAAAGATGCTAGAAGTTCTGCTTCTGATGGCACAGGAGCTCGTCCTGACCACAGCACTAGCAGCTCTCCTAATGATAATGTTACTGCTGCATTTTTTTATGACATGAACAAGAGGTCAGGCTTTGACCCATCTTGGCTGCCTGAGAGGAAATGGTCCACCTGGGTCTACAAGTCTGGTTACGTGCAAAAGGAAATAAAAAATGGAACTCCATCCAATCTTGTAGCATTGAGACTGTAATGAAATCCAAGGCAACAGGCTTAGTGAGAACTGATCAATTATAATGAAAACTATTTATAATAACCAAAAAAAACGTTCAATAAGTACAAATTAGCATGAAAATAGAATTTTTAAAAGAGACAAACTGACAGGGTACAAAACTAACTGTAATGATGACAGAGACAGCTGATGGAAAAACACAGAAACCTAATCCAGAACAGTGTGACTCATGTCTCGTCTCTGCCAAGTTTGCTGAACTCCGTCTGAACCAGATGCCAGTACATCATCCTATCCTATACCTTTAAGTGTGCCTGACATTTCAAGACGTTTGTCAGCAGGATGCATAAAGTTGTGCATATAGTTCAAAATTTTATAACTGAACTATGAGCAGGTGCACAGTGTTGTTTCTATTACTGTTTGGAAATGGGATTGTTTCACATCATAGATGACGATCACGGCAATAAAAAAGTGAATGTTAGATGTAAAAAAAAAAAAAAAAAAATTCACGCAGCTGGCATTTCATTCCGTCAATAACATATTCATCATCATGTAGATGAGGTGCATTAAAGATATAAATCCTATGTTGAGCACTTCCCAAAAACAATTAGAAAAACAAAAACTCTGATCTATATTTACACCACCTTTGTTCGCAGATTCAACAGTCAGGACAGTTCCAAATAACTCTGTGTGACTCGTGCATAATATTTTTCTCATGAAAGAGAAAACCTTCTTTACTAATGGTGGCAGGAGATCATTTTACAAGACAGTAGTGCTAACATAAGTTCATAAAAAATAAAAGCATGCAAATAATTACTTCTGAGCATCTGGAAGATTTAAATTCCTCTATTTTACAGAGATAGTTTTTTTTTTTAATTTCTCTTGTGTCTGAAAGAAGGTACACACCTATTTTAATCAATCCAGTGATTCGTATAGCTCCAGTTTTAATTGGCCTTACGACTGTTACTTAGGGGTGGGCGATATGACAAAAAAAATCATGATTTCGATTTTATCACGATCTTACATGTATTTTTGACCTCTTTCCACTGCTTGCTTGTCTTCTCATGCGGAGTGCCTTTATCAAATGCCTGTGTTAACGTTGTCTGTTTGGGTCCAGCTGCTGCCTCTGGCTGCGGTGCTGTTTGGTCTCAGCATTCTGTGTAGGGTGCTTTCTCTTCAAGTGATTGAACAAGTTTGTTGTGTTGCCATCCGACGTGCGAACCGTCTCAGTGCAAACTTTGCAAATTACCTTTGTTTGCGCTTTGTCATTTGGAGAAAGGCCAAAACAATTCCATAGAATGGAAGTAGAGTTTTTTGTAGCGACCAACTCCTGTGTTTGGCTTTCAGCCATGGCTCTCCATGCGTCTACTGCTACACACACAAACAAGTTGGCAGGTAAGAAATTGCATCACTGCCCGTAATTCGCGATGATTGGTCGGTCAGGTTTACAACGTAATAAGTCTGATGCGTCAGTGCATCAGCATAGAACTGCAATTTATAGAATGTGACCTAAACAATCCATACAGTCTCCTCACTTTGGCAGATCGTCTACATGTTCTTATCCTTAACGATCTAATATCGTCATATTGTGCACCCCTACTGTTACTGCAAGCTCAAGTGTATTTTTAAGTTCAATGTCCCTCATTTTATGCACGCAACATCTATGATTGTGTGCTGGGCTCTCAATGCTGTTAACCATGGGTGACCCAAAGCTCATTACTGTACCTCAAAGCCTTCTGCATGGACACACACAGAGCACCAGAGATGCTTCCACTGCTCTGCCGACAGTGCGAGGCTCTCCATTGCCAACACAGTCACAAATCACACACTGTGGTGATAGATACCTGCCATACAAGGTGTAACTGAGGTTTTATTCTCCAGGTTCTTTTCCTTATATGCTGTGTTCTAGTTTTTTTTTCTTTACATTTCACCCTTCCTCTGTTGCCTTTTTTTTTTAGTATCAGCATCATGGAATTTTTGTGCTCTCTGCAATCCAGCTACAAGTTCCCAGGGCTCATCGTAGTGGAATGCATATGCAGTTGTGTGTATATTTCCCTGATTAGCAGACCAAGTACACAAAAGTGGAGTGGAAATCCTTTTGCAGTAACAAAGTTGACAAGAATTCCAACTGAAGTTGAGTCACTGATTGGCATTGCAACCAATAAGGGTCTGAAGCAGTTTTGGATATCAGTGCAGGTGAATACTGACAACTGAGTGACACTGCATTGAAAAACATCTCTTCCTCCGGTTAGTCTGTCTCTTTCTTTCTTCCGTGCTGGTATAGTTGAAGTACAAGCATACAGCCAGTTGAAAATATCTGAAAATATTCCATAAAATAAATCAAATAAATTACTAAAATGGGCCACAAATGTGATTCAACTGCTCAGTAAAAGTGTTCATGTTTCCACATATAAAAAACAACATTCCACTGTTGGGACTCAAAGTGCCCACTTCAGTCACTGTTAACCCTTCTCACTGGTTCTACACATTTTCCAGTCCTTGCCTTGGTTTTACACATCACTGGCCCTTTAAAACCACTTTCAGATGGTGCTTAACACATGTATTAGACCACCAGCCAATGTAAGGTCTATGTCACAGCTACCCTAAATTACCAAATTACCAAAAATCATGTTTTATGTTTCTGTAATGGTTAATACACCAGTATGTAGAAGCTCTTCAACCAAAATGTTTTTGTAAATGCTAAAACAGAATTATTATTGTTATCCATGAATTTTTAAATGTACTGTTTTTCAAAAAAAATCTGAAAAAATGGTAAAGCACATTATTATTCTTTTAAGATATTTTTTTTTTTACCTTTGTGCCTTTACTGGATAGTGCAGTGATAGAGAGACAGGAAAGTGGAGGAGAAGAACGTGTGGGAAAGGGCCATGAGCGGGATTTGAACTCATGACCTCCACATCAGGACTGTAGCCCTGCACATGGGACGCCAGCTCAACCAGGTGAGCTATAGCAGCACCCCAGCACCAGCACATCATTATTCTTTGATTAAGATGTTAAATTATAGTTATTTACTGCACTCCTGAACAGAAAAATGTGTTAAGTGGTTGAATGTTATGCTTGATTAATTTCTGACTTCTCAGAGAAGCCCAGGGGCTCAAATTTGGGTATAAAAAGGTGAATTCAGTTTGAAATTCCTCATTCCTGTTCAAAATGGTAAAACATGGAGAGCTGAGTGTTGGATAGTCTACACGTATCTACAGTGCTTTACAAATTAGACAGGTGTCCTCATAATTTGTTAAGCACTGTGCATCCCTCTCTATTAGTCAGATCAAAATTTTACATGTTGTTCCTGTGCCTGAAAAAGCACCCTGCTCACCATTTACATTTATAGGAAAGCACAAGATGACAGCATAACGACGCAGGGCACTTTCACATATAGTTTACCAATCAGGACTGCTGCAGACACACAAAAAGCTGCAAACAATTTCAAGGCATTAGCTCAGAAGCATGAAGTTTGGCTAAAAAGAGAAACTGTCTTGAATTTTTTGGATAATGAAAGCAGCAAATATATTCTACACAATTAGCTGGAAATTGGTCCAAAGCAGAGATCTGAAAGGTGTTCTGCCTTAAGTCAGAGGACCAGATAACCAGGTAGACAATAGGACTGTAAGGGTTTATTACAATACACCAAACTTCCTGTAGAGT